CACTACATAGCCCAAGATTGTCACATTCCTGTTGGAGCGTTCACCACGCTCCCTTTGCTCCCCTTTGTGCGTGTGTGTATTGGGGTGTGCCCTCATGAAAGTGGTTGATTCGCCCAGTGCCTCAGCGTCCCGCCTCTCTTGCACGATTGACTCACGGAGTGAGGGCTGAGCGAGTCGAGTCAGCTCTCCTCCACACGCGAGCGAGTCGAGCTTGCCGCTTGAGGGATCCCGCATGTTTACTCATCCCTCGCATGTTTTGGTATGACGCTGTCTTCTTGTTGCTCTCAGAAAACACGAGAAACACATTTGAAATTGGCCTCTTTCACGTTGGCAATTGGGGCAAGGCTGCAAGAGTTCAGAAGCTGACATGTACTGGATAACTCTTTTTTCTTGCTTCAAGGGACTCCATATTTGTGGTTGGACAGCTGCTTCTTCTTCTTCTTCTTCTTCTTCTTCCATGCTTTGAGACCTTCAGATCTTTTTCCATTGGTCGCTGAAGAAGGAAGGCTTTTTCGTTTTGAGGCATGCTCATGATGACGTGTTCGGGCTGACCTCGGCTAGGCCTTGGCCATGTTTGACAACTATGCGTTGAATTCCTTTGTGCCATGTCAACTCCTGATCTGCCTTGCTTCGCTTTGAGTCATCAAGCCATCATTGAAAGGGCGGCTGTTTTGCGCACAAACCTTGCTGTTGTGTCAAAGGCGTTCAACAAAGCAAACACACGGCGCTCGGTTGCATTTCTTGGGAAGTTTGAAACTTACTGACCTGAGTGTGCGGAAACCGTGGAACAAGACGTCCAAGAATTTGAACAGTTCTTGGCGGGATTCATACTGTGGACAAAACCCTGCACCACCTAAACCACTGTTTGTTGGTATTTACAGGGAATCAGACCATTCCAGGGATTTCGTCCATCCACACTATTGCACACAGGACGTGTCAACACAAATATGACCAATGACTTCTTCCAACAGGCAAAGCTCCGTGCCTTGCCGCGCTGAGGCGTGCCGTACCGCTGACGCCGAAGGCGGGTGTTTTAGCCCGCAACGGTTACAAGCCACCAAAGGCAAACCCCACTGAAAAGCCACCAGCCCACCTTGCAGAAGCCCTTTCCTTATGAGGAAACGTGTTGTGACCAGGACCATTGGCACGGCAGATGCTTTCCCTAACAAACCATCCCATCATGGGCTGTACCCCGCTGCATGTGTTGAGAAACTAGGGGTCGTCTCAGCATGAGCTAGGCGTCAGGCTTTGGCCTGGCTCTATATTCTGTCGAGGAGCAAATTCCATAAAGAATGCGCCTTTGAGCTTTTTCCGAGGCAGCTGGTTCGAGCCAAGCTTGGGTGGTCAATCAGCTCACAGGATGATGGAGGTATTTCTGCTTCAAGCTTTGGCGTGCATAGTTTGGGCTGCTGCAGGCCGAAACCTATGTTCCACGTGTGTTTGCGGGCCCATTCACTTCCATCTCGCGGGCAACTTTTGCATGAGGCCAGGGGTGCAATGTTGCACACATGTTGTTGCTTGGGTTGACTGGGATGCAGGATGATTATGAACACCTCAGGGCTCTTGTGAGGAATTTCTATGACGGCTATCACCATCACTCAAAGCGTCTTGACAGACACAGGGACACACGTCAATGACATATTTTGACGAGGACGGCTTCGTGAAATGCGTGACACTGTTTACGCTTCTGATGGGAGCGGCCTTGCTTCAGTCGAGTGAATTCGAAGGTCGAGCTGCCTCCATTTGGAAATGGCCCATATGATTCATGAACATTTGGCAGCCTGATGTCCTAGTTGAAACACGAGCGTTTCGGTGCCCTGGTGTCTTTGGCCAACTCTTTGCCTTTCTTTCTTTCAAGGTCAGCTGTTCGCAGGGGTGAGGTTGCACTCGCCAGGTGGGCAGCCTCTTTCTCGAGCAATGCTCAGAGGCGACCAATTCCTTGGGCGCTGCAAGCTGGAGCACCAACGCGGTGAAGCTGACGCTACGAGAGCCGCGCGAAGAGCCCAAGCCAAAAGAGCGGAAGGCCCTGAGTTTGTAGCCGCGACAGAGCGCAAGCAAGCGGCCTACCTGGCCAAGAGAGAGAACTCATGGCTGAAGGGATTGCGGCCTTCTGTGCAGGGGCCATGCTGATGGAGTCTGGTTGTTTAGTTTGCTGTAGTTTGGTTGTTTCTGGGTGTCGAATTATGTCAGGCATTGGATTCTTTCAAACAGAACGTCATGCCGGCAGCTGATTGCTTTATACATGGCGGGGATCAATCCGTCGCCCAGACTCCTGTGGCAGATCCTTTGCAGTACACACCGATGGCGAAATATCGCGAGAACACGGCATTCTTCTGGCAACACGGATAATTTCATGATCATTCTACTATATTTACTATGTTGTCATTCTCACGCGACAAACCCGACAGGAAGCAGCTGGCTTGAAATGTGGGATGTTCAAGCATTGCAGTTGTTGTTGGTTTTCTGGCTGCGACCTAGCAGTTGTGGCAAATCCGCCCTATGTGTGTTTGCTCCAACCCAGTGCAGACCTATCACTCATGGATCCAGTTTCAAATTTCTGAATGCCATAGTCAAGACGCAGGCCGCTAGGAAGATAGAACAGAAAGGCTGTGAAGTGTAGCTCAAAAATGGTTGGAGGACCTAACATAGAAATATCTCAATGTTTTCCACAAGGGTCCCCACTTAAAGGTCATGCCCAACTTGGAGAGAGCTACCTCTATTCTACAACTGGAAGAATTTGTCAGGGTGGTGCATGTTGACGGCTTACCTTTGGGAGCATCACATGGGACGCTGGAAGGCATCCTTGTTTTCAGCTCTTGAATGGAGAGGCCAGGCAAATTTGAGGTGTTCGCGCTTGGACGGTATGCACCTAAAGTACTTGCTTGCAAGCTTGATTGTGTGTTTGCCTTGCTTGATTGATACTCTCAACCCACTCGTCTCACCCACGTTGGATTGCACCCCCAGACTGGGGGTGCCGCTGCGAAGGGTTAACTCTCGCTAGCCTCGGATGAAAGACGCGCGACAGAGCAAATGATTGCAAGCGCAACTGACGGGAACTCCACGGTCCTCGCCCTTCAGTGGATTTGCGCATGTCTTCCTGTCTTTTAGCAGCTGCTCAGCAGAATGGTTTCGATAGGCTGATGGTTGCGGCAACTTGAATGTGGCTTTCCTATGTCCGACCGCTTTGCGCAATTTTTCGCTGGCACTTGATGCATCAAGTCGAGGTATAAAACCGGGGAGTTGAAAACGAAGTTTATGGGTTTGAGTCTGAATTACTGTTGGCTGTATGCCAATCTGGGTGCCCTGGAAGGGCTGGACCCAGTCGGCCTGATGCGAGACATGTACTTGGCCCACCGCCTGTCTAAGGAGCGCGCGCCCGCCCCGCTGAAGGTCCCTGGTGCCTCCTTCACCTGGTGGACTGGTCCAAACAACTCGCAAATAGGGCTGGCCACCTCGACAATGAAAGTTTCTTTGCATAAGATCGCGTAAGGTACCTTGTTTGTTTTGGACAAGTCTTACAATTCACCCGGATATGACATGGTGGGTGTGAATCTTAATAAACCCTTCGGACATCATTCCACCAGCTCGCAGTCTGCAGCGAGCTTCTCCGGCTCGGAACCCGCAGCTTGCGCAGAGAGGACGGCTGGGCGGGGTGCCTCTGTGCGCCCAGTCTCGGACTTCGTTTCCACGTTTCGGGAGTTGCGTGGCTTGACGCGACACTGAATCTGGTATGCAGTTGGGATAAACGTATGGATCTTGTTTGCTTCTCATTGCTCAAACTCAAGCTGCTAGGTACGTGCAGGCGAGGGATGTTGCCAAGATGACGCGTGACCTTAAAGGTAGGCGCTGTCGCTCGCCCCGTGTGCCCGTGAGGCCGTGAGGCCGTGCCTGGCCATGTTGCGAGGCGCCGGGGCGGAAAATCCCCAGGTATCACCATTTGGTGCTGTGGTCCACGCGCTATCCAGCCTATCATTGTCTTGGCGCAATCGCCTGTTTTTTGTTTGCCTTGGTTGCTTGTGGGGAATGTGTGATCGCTTGGATGAACGGGCCCACTCAGCGTCGTTTGACAGTTTCACGCAGTTGTTGCAAGCCATGCCGTCAGTCCTTTCTTTTTCCTGGCGCAGGGCGGGTTGCAAACATGCGCAAACCACTTGGATCGTCGAGGTGTTTAAAGGACATAGTCTTTCCCAGTTGATTCAGAAGACTTCTTGGAAAGCAGGTGGTCTTATTTTGCAGGGATCTTTTAAATCTGGTAAGCGGTGATGTTCTGATTTGGCGACTCCGTGTTTGAGCCAACTGCCCCTGAAATTCTCGAGGTCGAGACCTACGAGGCTGGATTCGGTGAGCGACAGGCTACGGTCAAGCCAGGTCCTTCGTCCAGCGTTTCGATGTGCCCACCTTTCCCTGATGGGGAGTTGGTTGAATGCTATTCAATGGGCAATACACAAACACTGAAGAGACATGCCTGGATCGCCTGTTGTTTTTCTTGCCATGCACTTTACCCCAAAACCCAGCAACAGCGACTGAAAAAAGGCAGCAACTTGGCTATCTAGGTGCTGGCTCACCACAAGAAGCAAATCGCGATGCTTCGGAATTGACAGAAGACAGCTACTCGACTTGCAGCTTCGGACGTGTTTGGAGTTTGGAAACCTCCGGGGTGCCGCGTGGCTAAGGCTGCTCCGAAAAACGGCACCGTAGTGGCTCCTTGGATCTCCGGTACTGGCGGCAATACACTTTGCTGAGCTATCCGAAGATTACAAGGAGAACCAGCATTGCCTTAGAAAGCGACTTCCGAATCCAAGTTTTATTGAAGCAAGTGGCACGCTGCTTGTTTGACTTGGCTGTGTGAACACTGTTCGGCAATACTCGAGCACCGCTGTTAGGTTGTGTGCGGGTCGAGTTCGACTTTGTTTGGATAAGGTTGGTGGATAGCAATGGTTCGCAGCTTTTCCAAACATCGCCAGGCCCTCAATGGCCATGTATTTGACTTGTAAAGCTCATGATAATATCCATCTTAGACCCTGGAACCTCTTTTTTCTTTTGATGGCTTCTTGAAGGAAGCCGACTGGACATCCATTAGATGTCACTCACTTCGGAAGGAAGCCATGGGGTGCTCCACGAAGCATGTCCCCTTTTCCGGTGTTTAAAGCGTCAGCTTTTGGCCAATGTTGTGTACATCTAGGTCCCCCCCCAGTAGTGCCCTTTCTCACCCCTTTTTTGGGGCAGGGTTCCCCTACTAAAGTAGACTACAGAACAAAGGGTACCCTTATTCTATCCTCTCTACTACAGGACGTAGACAAGGAACACTGTGGAGTTTGCATCAGGTGTTGTGCTGGCTTTGGCGCTGGCTGCCGCGTGGCCTGCCGGCTGCGAAAGGGTGGTTTCGAAGGGAAATGGGTAGTAGCCCCTGAGACAATTGCGATAACTTAGTCATGGGTATGGCATTTTGTATCACAAGGTCCATTTTCCGTATGCTGAGGGAAGAGGACTTAGCTCGAACAGGAGCATACAGGATAACATGCCATCATGATCTCTGATGGACGTTTGACGCCAACAAAGTGCAGACATGTTTGCAAAGTATTTGTTCCATGCGAGAGTATCAAAACCCGTCGATCGCTCCGCTCGTAGGAGCATTTCTATTGGAGTTCGGACAGCACGAGAAGCAAAACCAGGAGTTTGTCTCAAAACTTATTGTCTTGTTTGTTGTGGCCATCTGACGTAGCACAAGGCTGATTCAAAGCTTACTTACCTATGATTCGTCCTCACTTCGTGGACGCCAAACGGCAACCCGGCTTGAGGCATGCAAGAGCGCAAGCCTTCATCAATGCCCCGGCGGGCGTTGCACGTGGGAGTCTAAGGGCTGCGGCATGGGCGGGAGACACTGAGGTCTTGGCAGGTTTTGATGTGCTCCGGACAGCATGTAACACAGCAAACAGTGGCTCGTCCTGGCGCTGGGTTGAGAACAGAAGGCCTTGTCTCATGTCCAGGATCCGATCGCGGAGACCGGAGTGGAAACAGCTCTGTCAAATATATTTGAAACCAGTCTTAGTCTAGGAGCCATGGCAACCTTAGCACGTTATTGGGACAAGAGCCACATTTCTTGGGGATTCGCCAAGAACATGTGTGCCAGCGATGGGTGGGCTACAGTCTTGGATGCTGGTTTCAGGAGGCTAGGTGCTGGCGTGGGGTTGTTGCAACTGTCTTGCGTAAATTGCCACCCCCTGCCCTTTTTCCATAGTTTAGGTCGACATCAATCACCCTGTCAAAGCTGTTGCATGGAAGTCGAAATTTAGTGCAATCGAGTCAGTAATTACTGAGATGAGTGCCCCGCTTGAGCACGGTTTCCGGGCAGAGTTAAATGCTTGCGGCACAGCTTTGCTGGGTTTTGCGTTGCAAAATTCTCGATTCCTCCGCGTTTTGTGCAGCACAGTTTCTGGCTGTTGCGTTTGCATGTTGCATCTTGCAGAAGATGCAGCACGTCGAATCCCCCGCTTTCGTTTTGATAACGACTGAGACTTGATAAAATATTTCTCAACTTCTCAACTTCCTTTTCATGCTGTGCTGGGGGATCCAATCATCACCCTTGCCAGTTCCCATTTGTCCAGCCAATTCGTTGGCCGGAAGGAAGTTTACTCCAGTCTTTTACCTCCACCCAGCGCAAATGAGAGCCGCGATAGTTCCGCAATTGTTAGGCTTCTCACATTTGGGGGTGTCCTTTTTTGAGACAAGGGCCCCCCCAAAAAGACAGACCCATTTGGTGTGACTCGTACGGTTTGTTTCTTGCTCGAGTCTTACCCTCCCACAGACTAACGTGGAAGCTCTCAGGACCCCCTTTAAAAGACTTTGTTCCATTTACAGAAGCCTTCTGGGAGCTTCCATGTTAGTCCGGAAAAGTGTAAGTTGCTTTGGACTGAGGAACTTTGAGGCCATCTGCGGGTCCTTCCGCGGCAAAGGTGCCGGACAGGGAGTTTGGCCTCGAATTGGTTGGACCGTTGGACCCATTTGAGGGTTTCTGAAAATAGGACAGCCCCTTTTTGGATGACTTTAAATATTGAAGGGACATCAAAAGGACACCATCTGGAGGATTCCCCAATTTTGAGAAACGATGCATGTCGATGCATTCGATGCATGTCGATTCAACCACTTCGATCCCGAATTCAAAGTCATCGGCAAATTCGTGGCTTAGGGGCCTTGGCTGGCAATCCCCCGTAAGGGATTGGGAGTTGCGAGGGAAGTTGGGGAGGCTCTCCCGACCTGCTGTCGTGATTAAGAGTCCCTTTATATTCCTTGTTGCCAGGTGAGTTGCTATGATGCCTGTAGGTGCATGATCCACGCATAGAGCTGTTTGAGTCTTGTGATTCAATCCACACGGATTCGAGCGAGAGTTACATTTAAGCAAGGCATTGCATGTCAGATTGGCTTGCTGCAGGCAATGCTTTCTCATGAGCGCTTGATTGCCCATTCAACATGAGGCTGAAGGAAACATGCTTCGCCATATATCGCAAGAGCGATGATTTTATCTTAATAGACGGGGGGAAGCACTTGTTCGCTCGTTTTTTTTTTTTTGGGGGGGGGTTTTGTGGGGCCTGTCAGCCTGTAACTTGTCAGGTGCTGTTCGAGCTGCAGGGCCGACAGGTTTCAGAACCAACTAAACGGGTCTTCAAAGCGCAGGGCTGCCAGCCGGCAGGCGGACTATGCTGACAGGTCTGGCTCAACGCAGGGTGGCTCAGCTTCGCCTGTGCTTTGCGGAGTTTCGTGGCATGGCAAACTTTTGGATCAAGTCAGAGGCAAAATGGGTATGGGTCAAAATTAAACCACCAGGGACCACAAGTTTTAGTCATTGTTTCCATTTAGCAGGGACCCATTTTGGGCACCTATTTTTGACCCACAGCCAAGTGTCTCTTGCGTTCATTCCAGGAGGCTGTGACACGGTGAAAGCCCAGTTGGCAGCTTGGACATACCTTGCAGCCCTGGCCCCTGGTCAGTGTGCAGGGAGGCCATTGCCAAAGCCAGACCGTCAAGTGCGAATGGACCTTTTGTGTAGCGAGGCATGATCGGCCCCTTGTGGCCTACACACAAAGTCGACAATTTTGGGCAATTGGATGTCTGACTGGCAAGCTTTTGGTCAGGATGGATGCAACATTCACGTCTAGGCCTTCCGCATCGCACCAACCATGTTTGTTCTGCATTCCGCTTTTTTCTCGCTTGAGTATAATTTTCACACATGGCTACAAGGAACACACCTTCAAGCAGAGAATACTCCCACCCTAAGGAATGGCAAATCGTCCAGGTAGCATTTTCTGTGCGATTTCCTAGGCGTTGCCTCGCCATGTGTGCCACAGCGCTGAGCGTGGTGGGCTCGGTACGCAGATTTGAATGCATGGGGTAGCAGTCTTGGCCTCTGTCCATGGTGCTCTGCAACGGTTGCGCCACTCATCAAGCAATCATCTACAGTTCTTTGGATCTGGAGCGTCGAAATATGTTTTCAGGTTTTAGTTGACAGTCGGCGCACCTTTCAAACCAACTCTCGGGAGGTTGGGCAACCAGAATTCCTGGCCTAACGGAACGCAGCCAACTTGAGCTTGCAGCCATTGGCGACCCATGGTTCATCCAAATAGCCAACGTCAAAATCGTCGAACCCAGGAGACAAATCGTTCCAGTGGCTCACAAATCGGGTACCCCCAACCCCAGTTTGCAGACTACACAATCTGTGGTCTGGGTGCCCGCTTTTTGGAGCCGGGGGCTTCTTGAATACCGGTGAAATCGCACCAGGAAGGGCTTGATCCCAGTCATAGGGTTTGATCCATCCCAACTGGTGCCGATCGATTCGCGGATTATGTCCATGTGGTGACGGGCGGTTCTTCAGGCTGCTGCAATGCGCGGCCGAACCAAAGCTGCGAAGCCGAAAAGCCGCGTGGTTGTGCAGGCGCGGGCTGCGTGGTCAGATTTTTGTTTTGTTTGCAGACTTGGACCCCTTTCAAGGGTGAAATTAAGTGGGAAACACGGTTTCCAGCCTCCCTCATCGGAGTCGCCAATCGAACAACCCGAAACTGCTTGCCAGTCCACGCCAATCCAACGAACCAATCTGGCGACAGGAAATCTGAGCGACAGGGCCACCAGGAAACACATCTTCATTTGGTTGGAGAGCATTTTTTGCATGCGGGGCTTGGCACGAAAACGCGAATTCGCTTGATCGCAGCCTGGCATCCGTGGGTCCCTGGCAAGAGTCGCAGCGTTGCCCATGGGTTTGGCTCAGGGGGAGAAAACATGGTCTTGCCAGCCATCTTTACTTTCAGTTGGTAGGCAGGTTAGTTTTGCAGGACACCAGTGCAAAGGTGGCGCTTGCTTCTGTTGCTACCTGCCGTCTTCGATTTCTTGTCTGGCGTGCGGGTATACAAGTACACACGCTGCTCCTTCGATTCACCAAAGTGTCTTGAACCCCTTTTGTCCACTCGCATCAGTTGTCCATTCGTATCAGATTCCCCATGTGCATTCATTCATCCGCGGGAAAGAAGCTGACTGCAGGCTGTTGGCCCTTTGCCAGCGCGGAGCCTCCGAGCGAGTTGAGTTGAGGGGTTTGCCCTTGCCTCATTTGCATTTTTTGGGTAAGATCAAAGAGATGTGGGCAGACTTAAAAAACGCACACAACAACAATTGATTGTGTATTCGTTTGTGATCTGTTTTCTGAATAATTGATTTCTTGGTTGAGGTGTATTTGTTTGGGAACCGGAGGTGAGCGAGTGCGCGGTATGATGGCAACATCCGAAGCAGGTGAACGAGTATGTGCCAATTTTGATACCCGGCTGCTTGCACCTAGTGAGGGAGCCGCCAAGCAAATAATTAAATATGGGCAGACCCATTTGGACCATTTTCACAATGATTTGAGAGGGCACCAGAAGGACACCATCTTTTGGTTTGCGGGCTTCCCTATTTTGAGCAACACCCAACAGTGTTCATCCGGGGTCGTGCTCTGAGGCTGCGCCATCCGCGGTTTGGGTGAGCGCTGGCCCCAGTCGGGGTATCAGGTTCCAAACGCACCGACACAACACCCACAGACTTTCGTGCCGTCCCCGAGCAGAAGGCTGCGCTGACCTTGAATGCTGCTTCCATGCTGCTTTCCACATCAACATGATGGAAGGCTTGAGGTGGGAGTGTGACCTGCACTTGGGGGATTTGTTTCAGGCTAGTTCAAATTTTGGTTGAAGTCACAAACAAGGAACGACTGGATCCGACGATGCTTTGCACAACGCCGCCAAATCAATTTTCGAAACTTGAGCGTCATGTAATAGACCAGGTCGCTTTTGTCAAGACCCGAGGTGGCTCAGTGATACTGCACGATGGGCAACAGGAGTTCTTTCTGCCGCTTCCGCTTAGCTTTTTGCTCCAAGAAGCCTGCGGATCATGCAGCTTGTGTGCACCAAAGTCACCCTGGCCCATTGGACCATTTCTCCAAGCCTTGGCCTAGCGGCCTAGCGCACGTATTCAATAGGTTGAGGGCATTCGCCGGAATCGGAGATGAGCGCCGAGGGCCAGGTGGATATGCTTTGCGACACGGCTGCAACCTGTGGATGACCAAATGTACCCCAAAGCGCTCGCTTCAAGGAATTGTGTTGGTAGAACCCCATCAAATGACTGTTTCGCCTGATCCAGCATGCATGCAGTTCAATGCTGCACCCAATTGGCCAGTGGGGCTATCCATGCAGTTTGAAAAGGGAGATCTCCATAAATCCGGTGCAACTACTAGCAAAAGCCAAAAAGAAGACCCAAAAGTGGGACCCCAAAGGGGCGCCGTCCTTGTTCAGGCAGCACCTGCGCAGAGCCACTGCGACGAGGCTCTTTTGGGCCCGCGGGTTGATAATTTTCTTAAAAGCCAGGGGTTGGCATCAACACCTGGCCGATACCCTTAAAAATGCCCACATGACTTTGGCCTGGGGAAGCCACCTTTTTTTTTTTGTTGTGAAGAGCTGTCTACGCTTTAGCTTCGGCTGAGCTTCCAGGCTGAATCTCGCGAAGAGATCCTTGGGATCAAGGCTCAGCTTCCACCCCAACTCTCAGGTTCTGGGGTGGTGATCAAACAGCCCCCGCCCTTGCCGTGGAGCCAACAGAACGTCGGGTATCAAAACTCTAGCAAAACAAAGCACGGGCCAACAAAACGGGAACCGCTGGTTGCCATGCAAACGCTCAGCACTACGTTTGTCGCGGCAGTTCGGGGACTTCCATCTGTGTTTCTTGTTTGTTCCAAGGTCAGCCTAGCAAGCAAGATTGCTACTCTGGGATGGTTGGAGCAAAGTGCCAGGTGTTTGCCTTAACACATTCAGCAGAGTTGCTCAGCCAATGCTTGTTCCCCCCAACTCAGTCAAACATCTGAAGCTTGCTCCACTGTGTCATGCACGTGTTGACCCTGTGTTGGTTCGGACCGCCTCTGGCCAGATTTGTCAACAACGTGTTCTTCAGCCGAGAGGTGGTACTTTGCACCTGTTCAAGCGGGTGTCCCTGCATTGGTTACTCGGCATGTGGCATCCCGTGTTGGTCTACGGTGAACCATGGCCGGCAGGCAGGGTGTAGCATGAGTCAACAGGGAGAAACATGCTATCCTTGAAGATCATCATTTGTTTGACTATTCCCATGCAATTGTTCGGGCAACCATCATCTCCCTCAAACATCTTGTTATGTGCGTGTGGCTCAGGCTTAAAGAACCAGGGCAACAATGGCTGGCTTCAATCTTTCAATTTCTCAAGGTGCCATTTTGATGTCCATTTTTTGAGCAGCCACGGCGACACAGAAAGGGTTCCCATCCCGGCGCTTTCCGTGGGAAGCGCAGGCCTGGCATTCAGCGAGCAGCTACTGCTGCGTTCGGCGTGCAGCGCCAGCCGGGAAGGCATTGGGAGGGCATGTGGGGGGGGGGGGTTCTGAAACTCCCAAAATGGGCCCAACATGGGCTGCTATCTTTTGCTTTCCTCTTCGAAGCCGTGTCTTTTCAGAATTCCCAAATGAGTCACTGGCAATACGAGGGTTTGCCCCCATGCTTTGCATCCTCGATTTTTATGGGAATCTTGTCAGCGGTTTGTTTTAGCTTGTTCAATCTTTGGAAACATGGACAGCCTGTCTTGAAAGGTGTACTCATGCGCCATAGCGCCTCAAACAGAAGCATCCGTTGCAAGTTTATGAGACCACAAACCCGATCAGTTGGCCAGAGGGAGACGAGAGGGCGACGCTTGTGCTCAATCTATATCATGCAAGCCTCAGTACCCAGCTAACTCAGTTTGCCACATTATGAGGCAGGTCATGCAAAATGAAGGACATCTCCAGTACAGAAAAGGGGTAGCAGTTCTCTGGAGGTTCCAAATCAATCCTGAATCCTGCCAGATGATAGTGGTTTCCTTAGTGGTATCCATGGCTAGACTGAAACGATGTGGGTTCTCACCAACCTGAAATTTCCCTTTTCACCTTACGGGAAGCCACGTGAGCCACAATCAAAACCCGGGCAGATGAAGCTTAGTAAGGGGCAGTCCCAGCAGAAATAGTTGCGGATATCCGCCTTCGTAATTCTTGACGCATTGTTTTTGGGTAGATGGGCTCACGACCATTTTGAGCAAGTGTTCTACCATGGTAGTGGGTCAAGGTGTGTGTGGGTCAAGTGGTCAATGGTTTGGAGCAAGTGACTCACGTTTGGGTTCCGGGACCTTCGACTCCTCGACTCCTCGACTCCTCAGCCCCTCAGCCCGGTTCCGAGGCCTCGGCGTTCTTTTGGGAGGAGCTGCTGAACCACCGCGCCGAGCGCCACGCCAAGCGCGGCGCCTTGAAGCATTGGGCGGACTACAAGAGGCGCGGAAATTGTTGGGGAACGTGTCAGAGGGCACTGGTATATGGCCATGGGTCAAAACCTCGTGCCCCCAGCGAACATCCCAATCCCGTCTAAAATAGGTTCTAAAATGGGTGGTATCCCAAAGTGGTATCATTGGTTTTGACCCACAGCCATATGATGTGTTTTTTTTCTTGCTGAAAGTTGGAAGTTTCAACAGGAAATGGTAACCGCCTAGAGGGTGTCCCCTAATTTTGAGAGGAGTTCATGTGATAGTTCCACCTTAGCTATCTTTTGGTCGGTGTTTAAAAGGAAGCCAAAAGTATAGAAAGGAAGCCAGCCATTTTAGGTCACCCCTATTTTCAGAAGCATCGTGTTTTGGACGGGAGCTCGCAGGGTAGAAGGGTGTTTGGGGATGCAGATTCAGATGCCCCAGAGAAATAATTCTGTGGCCTTGACTGTTTTTTCCACTGTGTCCCAGCTGCATTGCTGGCAATTCTATTTAGTCACTGCATGGAGTACTTGCTAAGTTTGCTTTGGCTGGCTGCTCCAACACCCAGATGCAGGTCGCAAAGACGACCACACAACTTTGGTGCGTGAGGTTGTGAGATTTTTTGATGGGTACGGGCAACCAAGCTGCGTGGCAGCATTTTGCTGGTGCAAGCTCGAGGGGCGCGGGGCAATGGCGTTCTTTGCCGTGGTCCTCTTGGCATCCTGGTTCTCCTGGGCAAAAGGCATGGGCATTCAGGCAGGGCTTTTGATGCGTGACTGCCACTGCTCCTGAAAAACGCAGGTTCGATCACCATTCACGCCAGCGTTGCATTGTATGGCGGGCAGGGGTATCCCATTGTAGCCGGCTCCAGGGCTTAGAACTTAGAACTGATGAATGCCCCGTGCACGTGTTGCATGATTGTCAACGGGCGCCTCCAAGAGCTCGTCTTGATATACGAAAGAGCCGCCTCGAGCCACCTTTGTTGGGCGCGACCTTGTTTGAATGGTTCTCGATTGTTCCTCACGCCCGGCTTGCCAAGTAGTTTGGCGGAAGCTACGTTCAAGATGTCCTTCCGCTTAGCAAGCCTTCTGAGCTTGTTGGGTCTGAGGTCATTGGCACAGGAGTTTCCAGGACATCCACGCAGTCTTTGTCTTTGGCACTGACCCAGCTCGGCTTCAAGACCCTTCATGCGGAAGGATTCCACCCCAAGATCCCTCTCTGGAAGGAGGCCTATCGGCTGGTTCCCGAGCGGCTGAGCGTTGGGGCAAGAACTGGGAGTTTGGCCCGTCAACTGAAGGTTTCCGAGGCTTGCCTAGGTTCAGCTTATCGGCCAGGCACCTGAATTGGTGGACCTGGTCACCAAGTCAGCTTTGGAGTCCCTGGAGCGGCAGGATTTCCAGGTGCTGCTGCCTGCCCTGGAGAAGATTGAGCAGCTGAATGTGACTGCCCTGGTGGATGCTCAGACGCAAAACCTGGCCCGAAATCGGGTTTCCATGATTTTCCACTTGGGCCCATTGCGCGAAAACCTGGGATTTTGATAGCGGGTCTTAGTCTTGAGGACATTCCGTGGTCAGAGTTTGGTTTGGAGCTGCATGAGCGCTACCCGAACGCCAAGATCATACTCACCATGCGCGAGAAGCATTCATGGTTCAAGAGCTATTGGGAACATTTCCGCTGGGGCGCGGTTCTTCCGCCACCGCCCTTCCCCTCCTTTCCAATCACCCAGCCCTTCCCCTTGACCGTGCTGTATCAGCCCTTCGCGCAGTACTGGCGCCTGGTTTCGCAGCGCCTGCACTGCGGCGCAATCACGCGGTTCCCGCCGCGGGCCATTTCAGACACGGAGAAGGAGGAGTGTTTGGAGGGATATGTGCAGCATGCAGAGAAGCTAAAGCGGGCTTTGCCGGCGGAGTCTTTGCTTATCTATGACATCCGGGACGGCTGGGGCCCGCTTTGCAGGTTCCTGGGCGTTCCAGTGCCCAATGCCCAGTTCCCAAGAGAAGATTCTTACAGCAGTCTTCATTGGAAAGTAGGGCCCTGGACCTTCTTGGCATGCGTCTACGGCTGCTACGGGTTCTTGATTCTTTTGATAGGCTGCAGCCTCAGATTCTCTCTGAGACGTGTAGGCATCAAGATCAAGAGCAGCTAGTCAGCTGCATGTTTTGCCAATTGGCCATGGGTCAAAAGCCAAATCGTACCCCCATGTGAA